ACCAGCCGTGGAATGTGCTCGTTGGTGGTGGGGGAGTATAAAATTTACCATTCGGTTTGGGAACCGCCTATAATGTATGTAGCATGGAAGATATCGAGATCTCTTGGTTGTTATGTTGACAATGAAAGTATGCCGCTCAAAATATTATTTATCTCTATTTCAAAACTCGAGCTCTGGCATCTCTGCAAATCCATGCTTCCCTCTGCGAAGGGCCTATCTATTTACTTTTATGTTGAGTCATCATCCTCTTATTAAAAAGCACCAGCTGGAGAGCACCGTTGTCATTTGCATGCATTGCTATTAATTTACATTGAGTATGACTGTGAATGTACCTCTTTCGCCATGAATTACAATGTCTAGTCAGTCCTTGATCTTCAGGGGTGCTCTGCATTTATGTTTTGCTTTCTTGGAAAGGGCTAGCGAGATACCATCTTGTTATATCATATTATGATTGTTTTGAGAAAGTGTTGTCATCCGAGATTTATTATTATTGCTCGCTAGTTGATTATGCCATTGATATGAGTAAACATGAGACCTAAATGTTATTGTGATTATGGTTAGTTCATAATGTTTGCTGAAAACTTGAATGCTGACTTTACATATTTGCAACAACAAGATCAAACAGAGTTTGTAAAAGTTTTTCTTTATCACTTTCAGTTTGTCAACTGAATTGCTTGAGGACAAACAAAGGTTTAAGCTTGCGGGAGTTGATACGTCTCCAGCGTATCTACTTTTCCAAACACTTTCGCCCTTGTTTTGGACTCTAACTTGCATGATTTGAATGGAACTAACCCGGACTGACATTGTTTTCAGCGGAATTGCCATGGTGTTATTTTTGTGCAGAAATAAAAGTTCTCGGAATGACCTGAAACTCCACGGAGTCACGTTTTGGAATTAATAAAAAATATTGGCGAAAGAATCAACAGAGGGGGACCCACACCCTGTCCACGAGGGTGCAGGGCGTGCCCACCCTCCTGGGGCGCGCCCCCTGCCTCGTGGGTCCCCTGGACCTCCACCGACCACAACTTCAACTCTATATATTCACGATCGGGGAGAAAAAACAGAGAGAAGGATTCATCGCGTTTTACGATACAAAACTGCCGCCAAGCCCTATTCTTCCTCGGGAGGGCTGATCTGGAGTCCGTTAGGGGCTCCGGAGAGGGGAATCCGTCGCCATCGTCATCATCAACCATCCTCCATCACCAATTTCATGATGCTCACTGTCGTGCGTGAGTAATTCCATCGTAGGCCTGCTGGACGGTGATGGGTTGGATGAGATTTACCATGTAATCGAGTTAGTTAGGGTTTGATCCCTAGTAACCATTATGTTCTAAGATTGATGTTGCTATGACTTTGCCATGCTTAATGCTTGTCACTAGGGCCCGAGTGCCATGATTTCAGATCTGAACCTATTATGTTTTCATGAATATATGTGAGTTCTTGATCCTATCTTGCAAGTTATAGTCACCTACTACGTGTTATGATCCGGCAAACCCCGGAGTGACAATAGTCGGGACACTTCCCGGTGATGACCGTTGTTTGAGGAGTTCATGTATTCACTAAGTGCTAATGATTTGGTCTGGTCTCTATTAAAAGGAGGCCTTAATATCCCTTAGTTTCCAATAGGACCTCGCTGCCACGGGAGGGTAGGACAAAAGATGCCATGCAAGTTCTTTTCCATAAGCACATATGACTATATTCGGAATACATGCCTACATTACATTGATGAACTGTAGCTAGTTCTGTGTCACCCTATGTTATAACTGTTGCATGATGAATTACATCTGACATAATTATACATCATTGATCCATTGCCTACAAGCTTTTCACATATTGATCTTTGCTTAGTTACTTCTTTGTTGCCACTGTTACGATTGCTAGAAAACTATTACTGTTACTTCTGCCACCGTTACCGTTACTTCCATACTACTTTGCTACTAAATACTTTGCTGCAGATATTAAGTCTTTCAGGTGTGGTTGAATTGACAACTCAGCTTCTAATACTTAAGAATATTCTTTGGCTCCCCTTGTGTCGAATCAATAAATTTGGGTTGAATACTCTACCCTTGAAAACTGTTGCGATCCCCTATACTTGTGGGTTATCAAGGGGTAGTCAGTGCCATCGAAGACGGGGCATGCAGCGGAGACCTTGATTATCCCTGCAGTCGACATAGCTAAAACTCCAGGTGGTTAAACCGAATCACACAGAACAAGGGAGTACCTTGCTCTGATACCAATTGAAAGTGCTAGTTATCGACTAGAGGGGAGGTGAATAGGTGATTTTTATGAAAGTCTTCTAAACACGGTGGATTTAAAGACAAACAAGTAAACTAAACCTATATAGTAAGCAGCGGAATGAAAACTACAGTAGGCAAGCATTAGTCAAGCATACAATACAGTGAAAGCACGAGACTAACTGCAACTAGGTAGACAGGATCAGAATGGAAGATAGTACGAAGCCAAACAGATAAAAGTCTTCACACAGTGAAGTCAAATGAATCAGGCAAGCAGGCAATGACTTCATGAAGACAAACTGAAGAGTAATGAGAGCAGGGGATAAAACCAGTTGCTTGGTTAAGACAAGGATTTGGCAGACCAGTTCAAGTTGCTGTGACAACTGTATGTCTGGTTAGGGATGCTGAGATTGAACTCAGAAGACCGTGTCTTCACCTTATTCCCCTTGAGCTAAGGACACCCAATCCTCGCCCAATCACTCTAGAAAGTCTTCAAGTGATGCTCAGAACGCGACGCCTAACCGGCTGGAGGATTCACAGTCCTCAAGTGTAACAAGTCTTCAGATCACGCGGACAGTAAGACTTCAGTGATGCCTAACACTCTTTGGCTCTGGGTGTTTCGGCTTAGTCCTCGCAAGGATCTCTCTCTCAAATGCTTCAGAGGTGGGTTGCTCTCAAACGACAAAAGTCGTGCACTAACTCTAAGTAGCCACCAATTTATGGTGTAGGGGGTAGGCTATTTATAGCCAAGTGGCAACCCGACCTGATATGTACGAAATGACCCTGGGTCACTAAGGAACCGACACGTGTCCAATGGTCGGATTTCAAACACACGCGGCAGCTTGGCTTGGGCTACAAGCAAAGCTGACTCATCCAGCTCTTACAGTCGTAACGTGGTTGATGTAGTTGTACTCTCCATGATCCAATCGCGATCCAATCCGATCTAGTGTCGAACGGACGACACCTCCGAGTTTAGCACATGTACGGCTCGGCGGCGTCCTCTCCTTCTTGATCCAGCAAGTGAGGGAAAGAAGATAGATGAGATCTGAACCAACACGACAGCGTGATGGTGGTGGTGGTGGCTCGACGGCGTCCTCTCCTTCTTGATCCAACAAGTGAGGGAAAGGGGTGAGGGAGGGGTGTGCCAGCCCTAGCCCCCTTCACAATTCAGGAGGGCGACGACCAAGGGGGGAAGAGTGCCCTCCAAGCCAAGTGGAGGGCCCTCCCCTTTAGGGTTTCCCCTCCCCAGGCGCATGGGGCTTGTAGGGGCTGGTGCGCCTGGCCCAATAAGGACAAGGCGCCCCTACAACCCATGCTGACCTAAGGGATGTGGTGGAACCCTTTACGGACTTACGAACGCCTCCAGATCCTCCGGAACCTTTTGGAAGCTTCCCAGTACAATACCGAAAAAAACTGAACTTTTTCCGAAACCCCGACAACAACTTTTCATATAGAAATCTTAACCTCCAGACCATTCTGGAACTCCTCGTGATGTCCCAGATCCCATCCGGGACTCCGAACAACCTTCAGAATTTCCACTATTAATATCTCAATACTACCCTAGCGCTACCGAACGTTAAGCGTGCGACTCTACGGGTTCGAGAATCGTGTAGACATGACCAAGACTCCTCTTCGGTCAGTAACCAATAGTGGGGCCTGGATGCCCATATTGGTTCCTACATATTCCATGAAGATCTTTATCAGTTGAACCACGATGTCAAGGATTCTGTCAATCCCGTATACAATTCCCTTTGTCCGGCGATATGTTATTTGCCCGAGATTCGATCGCCGGTATCTCCATACATATTTCAATCTTGTTACCGGCAAGACTCTTTACTCGTTTCGTAATACAAGATCTCATGGCTAAACTCATTAGTCACATGCTTGCAAGCTTCTTGTGATGTTGTATTACCGATAAGGCCTAAAGATATCTCTCCGTCACACGGAGCTACAAATCCCAGTCTCGATCCATGCAACCCAACAAACAACTTCGGAAATACCTGTAAAGCACTTACGAATTGATTTGATAGCACACAAATTATTCCTCCGGCATCCAAGAGTGGCATGATCTTATGGTCTAAGGAACTGATATTTTATATGAAGAAAGCTATATCAAATAAACTAAGTGATATGATCTTATAGTAAGTTCCTCGTAAGGTGTTACTCCCTTCATAAAATAGTGATCTAAACGCTCTTATATTTGTTTACGGAGGGAATACATCCGTTAGAGTGACAACTAATTCTAGACAGAGGAAAATAACTAATTCTAGACAGAGGAAGTATTTTCTTTGGTGGTATTCCGCAGAACCAAACACTTGGATGACCCAAAAAAGTTGGTTCCAGTTTGATGCGTGCCGCAAAATCAAACACATGCATGACCCAAAAAGTTGGAACAATTGCGTTTCCACTTGCTTCCGGCGACAAAACACACACTTGTATTAGGGCCAGGCCACATCCATATCTTTTCAGGTGAACTCCATCCATTCATACTAGTTTCTAAAGTGGAGTATATCTCCTTTGGATTTGCAAGTACCAAACTGATATCATCTGCAAACTCACACTCCCAATGCTGCAAACAACAGTAAGTAGTCCCCACTTTTGGCCTTTCAAGGCAACAAGCAAAACGGTTGCAGAAGTCACCATATAAAATAAGAAAATTCAGAAAATTCACAGTTTTTCAGGCCTCATAGCAGACAGACAACCAAGAACTCCCTCTGATGAATTTTCTAGAAAACTTTCTATGAACAGAAAAAACAACACAGAATGCTACTTCTTCTTCTTATTTTTCTTGTTAGTAGTTGTAACTGATGGACCTGCCACTGGTTCCTGCTTCTTAGTCCTCCCATGATGCTTGGGGACCAGCTCTGCTATTTGGATCATTAGCTGCTTCTCTGCAATGCAAAGACCTGGTGTCAGTAGGACAGACAAAAACATGTTCAAAGACACGCATATCATGGGAAATATCCTTTCGCGCTATAAACATCTCAAGATTGCCAGACATATCAAAGTAACCCGAGAACATAATGCGTTGAGCAAATACAAGATTGCCAGACACGCATATCATGGGAAATATCCATGTTCAAAGTAACTAGAATTACAATTGCAAGTCGTCTTTACTCCCCCAAAAAGGGAACAAAATGTGTTGAATAAATTAAAAAGATAACATAAAAAATAACATTAAGCAACATTGTAATTACCCGCTGAATGGCACTAAGGACCAGTTCTTTTGGGTGGCTTAAAAAAAATAAGCTGCCTCTCCCCAGCTTAAAAAATAAGCCGCCTGCTAAATTTTTTGACTTCTAAATCAGTTATCCCATAACTAGTTTAGAAGCCCCACTGAATAAGAGAGACGGCTTATGGGAAAAGCTGGGGAGGAGATGACTTATTTTTTAAGCTGGCAAAAGAACTGGCCCTAAGCAACATTGTAATTACCCCCTGGATCCTCTAAAAAGTTAGCAAAAATACGTCTCCAAATGATATGGATGGATGGCCTTAGACACTACAAATCAACAGATAAAGGCTCTATTAACAACTAACTTACATGCACACACAATTGTGAGGGGCAACAGGGAAAGCTTAACGGTTGCAGAGAATCTACAAAACTATAGAAGGCAACATTATACTAGAGGCAACATCCAGGTGAATACAACCATGTTTATCCTATTAGACAATTTTGACCACCTTAAGAGCTACTCCCTCCGCTCACTATTATAAGATGTTTTGGATATTTCAATATGGACTACATACGGATTGAAATGAGTGAACAAACACACTAAAACGCATCTATATACATCCGATTCAGAAAAAAGGTTAGAACATCTTATAATAGTGAACGGAGGGAGTATATGTGATGGAAGTTTTTGCCAACAGTGAAAAGAAATTATATTTGGAAGAAAGAAACTCAAGATTCCACTATCATGCATCAGCTCTACTTAACAGCAAATACAATTTTCAGATAAGAAATATCACTAACATGGTGCTGGGCTGCTGGCTAACAGAACTCATTCAACACAGATGCATAGGCATGGTCCCACATTACATAGAGATGGTATAATCAAACTAGCCATATTATACAGCATTTTGATGCATTCTTGTCTATACCAAGATGGACTAAATAAAAGCACAATGTACAAGATTTGGCGACACTACCAAGCAAAGCCCAGGAAATACATGATCCACATAGGGCAACACACTTTACTCCCTGGCCCTTTGATGCCACACAACATCCAAACTGAGAAGTATTTATGTGCCCTGTAGTGGACAAAGGGAGGTGCGCAAGGGGGCCTCAATGGCAGCCAGCCCAATTCCAGGCATCACACAGCTGAACAAGGATAAGGATGCTATTGTTGTAGGTGTATTTGTTAGGCATATGATACATATTAGTTTATATTGTTAGGAGTCATCCCATCTCTTGATTGCCACGTTTCATTTGCAATTAAGCAGGAATTAATCAAAGAATGTCATTACCATATCAGTCCAGCCATCCTCTCGGTGATATTCATATACTGACAACACGACACAAGGATCATTAGGCCATGGCAAGTGAGAGAATTTCCCTTGTAATCTGAGCTAGGACCATGAGTTACCAGCCATTTTGTCCATACTGTTGCATCTAAGCTACAGTCACATAGTACAGAGGACTAGTAAATCGGCTAAAATAACCATACTACAAACTGGAAATGGAACAATCATGACAAACACATGTAGCACCCAAGGGATCTCCTAAAGTATCTATCTACAAAAAAATGGACAAAAGAAATCCGTGTCAACAATACTTTATTTCCTGATAGCACAAACAGGGAATACTTCGTTGCAAACATAACGGTTTAAGGTCCACGACGACCATAGCAGATCTCCTAATCCTTTGCAAGAATGGTCTTATATCTCCTATCTATGGGTTCCTTTATTCAAGAGTGCGAAGGGTAAGGAAGCTAGCCGAGCCTAGGAGGATTCGCTTAGGTAGCTGGAACGTAGGGTCTCTGACAGGGAAGCTTGGGGAGCTAGTTGATGCAGCGGTGAGGAGAGGTGTTGACATCCTTTGCGTCCAAGAAACCAAATGGAGAGGACAGAAGGCGAAGGAGGTGGAGGATACCGGCTTCAAGCTGTGGTACACGGGGACGGCTGCAAACAGAAATGGCGTAGGCATCTTGATCAACAAGAGCCTCAAGTATGGAGTGGTAGACGTCAAGAGACGGGGGACCGGATTATCCTAGTCAAGCTGGTAGTTGAGGACTTGGTTCTCAATGTTATTAGCGCGTATGCCCCGCAAGTAGGCCACAATGAGAACACCAAGAGGGATTCTGGGAAGGCCTGGAAGACATGGTTAGGAGTGTACCGATTGGTGAGAAGCTCTTCATAGGAGGAGACCTCAATGGCCACGTGGGTACATCTAACACAGGTTTTGAAGGGGCGCATGGGGGCTTTGGCTATGGCATCACGAATCAAGAAGGAGAAGATGTCTTAAGCTTTGCTCTAGCCTACAACATGATTGTAGCTAACACCCTCTTTAGAAAGAGAGAATCACATCTGGTGACTTTTAGTAGTGGCCAACACTCTAGCCAGATTGATTTCATCCTCTCGAGAAGAGAAGATAGGCGTGCGTGCCTAGACTGTAAGGTGATACCTGGAAAGAGTGTTGTACCCCAGCATAAGCTGGTGGTTGCTGACTTCCGCTTTCGGAATCGTGTCCAGCGGGATAAGCGTGCCAAAGTCGCTAGAATGAAGTGGTGGAAGCTCAAGGGGGAGGTAGCTCAGGCGTTCAAGGAGAGGGTCATTAAGGAGGGCCCTTGGGAGGAAGGAGGGGATGCAGACAATGTGTGGATGAAGATGGCGAATTGCATTTGTAAGGTGGCCTCGGAGGAGTTTGGAGTGTCCAGGGGAAGGAGAAGCGAAGATAAGGATACCTGGTGGTGGAATGATGATGTCCAGAAGGCGATTAAAGAGAAGAAAGATTGCTTCAGACGCCTATACATGTGCCAGAGCCATGAGTTGGTTGTGAGATCTTATCGGTTTCACCTCTAGCCTACCCCAACTTGTTTGGGACTAAAGGCTTTGTTGTTGTTGTTGATGATGATGGGTTCCTTTATTCGCTATGCTCCAAAACTCATTTACCAGAAAAGTTTCCGCTTGTGTAAGCAGAAATTTCATTTGCATAAGGAAAACAGTAAAAAAACATTTTACTATTTTACCGACTAATGTCCAGGGAAGCATATCAAAATAAAGTGGTCCATGTAGTTTATCTCAACCTTGTCCCTTTCTTTTCAATCTTCAAACTTACCATTTTTAGTTAGTCATGCTATGTTGGAAAGGCTTCGCAAGGATTCATGTACACGTCAAAATAAGCCAAGCCGCAGCCTTTGCTTCTTTTTTATGTTTGTGCACCATAACTCTACGAATCCCAAGAGCTGGAAGGAAACATTTTTTTTTTGTGAATATTCTCATGGTTTTTCCAAGTTTGCAGATCCTTGTCACAGGCATACTAAAACTAAATAGATTTGGAGAATGTCGAATGCTTAGTATGAATAACTCTTGAATGTGACTTCACAGCGCAATATGGGATAGGTAAGTTTGTTTAACCATTATTATGTTAAAGATGTGTTACCATCATTTATTTCATTTCAGCATAATTTCTTATTTATTCCTATGCCACCTAGTATACCTTGTACTCCCTCCGTTCCAAAATAGATGACTCAACTTTGTACTAAAGTTAGTACAAAGTTAGGCCATCTATTTTGGAACGGAGGGAGTAATATGATTACTAAGTTTATTCACCCATATTTGCAACTTCAGTTTTCCTAGAAAGATAACTCTTGATAATCAATGTTGGCAATACTTATGTGTTGTTATTTGTTGATCCATTAAAATGAAAGTATGCCTCAGGATGCCGAGATGGATCAGCCACACACATATCTGACTTGGGCAAAAGATTGTCTAACTAAGAGCAGAAAAAAATCAAGCCAAGCCGAAAATATTAAAAGACTAGACATTGAATTCGTTGAATGTTACATTGTTTATTGCATTGTCCTGAACTACTAAATTTACTGAACATCCACAACTTGATCACACTTCACAGCATCACTATCTGACTATAATAGTCAATAGGATAAACCTTATCCCGCAAAAAAAGGGTAAATCATCACAAACCATGTGTAAGCAATTCAAGATGATAATATCAATATGAGCAATCAGGTAGCAATATATACTTAATTAAGATGGCCCATTATAGCATACTAGTGTGGACTGTGGAGATTATCTTCTGCTCATTTTAGAAGATACTTCCTTGAAATTAAAATAGGAGCGACTACATTCCAAAGCACTCATCTCGAACAAACAAATTTTTGCAACTTATGATGATTAAGATTGTAATCTCGTATCCACAACATTGCACTGGTTAAATGAAGAGAGAGTCGCGTAGAAAATGAACTACAGTTCTTCTACCATCATTGATGTGAAATATAGAGAATCAACATCTTAATGTGCCAGGGGGATACTGATTTCACAAAACCTTGAAAGCAGTACAACAAGAGTTGCATGGGACCAAAATTAAATCCCTTCTAGGGAATTAACAGTGTGTAGCAATAGCTCGTGATAAGTAACATCTTTATATAGGACTTAAAAAGAGGATTGACCTTCCTTCATAGAAGCGAAGGAAACCTTGACACAGCAGAAATCTATTCCTGAAGGCTCTACTAGCTGCACTAACAGGAACTGGGATGGCTTGAAAATGGTATGAACGTGTATAGAATTAGATGTCCTTGACCTAATTTTTTACGGGGGATTGGATGATTTGCCCCACTTTACAAGGGGTTGGATGATTTGCCCTTTGATTGTCTCAATGACAGTGGCCCCGGGCCCCACCTGGTAGCCTC